ATGAGTCAGACACAAGGTTTTTATGTTCATATAGGAATACACCCCAGTGAAGCTCACATCATGTACAACCACAAGAATGAGACCCTAAGTTATCCTCCAGGTATGGATAAGAGGTCAAAATACACTCTCCTAACATGTGTATCTAAAAAGAGCAAATTTAAAAAACAACAACAACAACAACAATAATAGTCCTTTTAACAACTGTTGCGTGGGCAGCTGGACAGCCTCATGCCAAACGATGAAGGTGAAGTGCTTCACACACGTGAGCAAGATTGAACTCTGTGACCCACAGAACAAATAAGGACAGCCCCAGGACACTTGGAAGGAAACATCAGAGTAAATCTTTGCAATCTCAGGTTAAGGAAAGCCTTCTGAGATATAGCATCAGAATCACAAGCAAAACAACTAGGTAAATGAGATTTCATCAAAATTGAAACTTTTGCTGCAAAAACCAGCATCAGTAATATTTAAACTCAATAATAAAAAGACAACCCCATTGAAAATGGGCTAAGATTTAGAAGAGAAAATTCTGCAAAAAAGACACCCAAAGGGCCATCAAATCCATGAAACGATGGTCCACATCATTAGCCATCAAAGGCAAATCAAGGATGGAATGAGGGGGCTGGGGCTCTAGGTCAGTTGTAGAAAGTGTGGTTCTCCCATGTGAGGCACTGACTGGGTTTGATCCTCAGCACCACATAAAAATAAAGAAAGATATTGTGTCCATCTATAACTAAAAATAATTTTAAGAAAAGGATGTAATGAGATCCCACCTTATAACCACTAGGATTGCCTCATGAAATGGATAAATAATAGCAAATATTAACCACTAGCACTAACACTAGTTGCTAAATGAACTCTTATGTTTTTATTGTTCATTTTAGATATACATGACAGTACAGTGTATGTTGACATATTATATACCCATGGAATATACCTCAGGTTCTCATTCTTGTGGTTGTACATGATGTGACGTCACTGGGGGTGGATTCTTTATATATATATATATTTTATTATTAGTTGTTCAAAACATTACAAATCTCTTGACATATCATATTTCATACATTTGATTCAAACGGATTATGAACTCCCATTTTTACCCCTTATACATATTGCAGATTCACATCAGTTACACATCCACTTTTTTACATACTCCCTTACTAGTGTCTGTTGTATTCTGCTTCCTTTCCCATCTTCTACTAACCCCCCACCCTTTCCTTCCCTCCACTCCCATCTTCTCTTTCTATGGGGTTGGATTCTGATACGAACATAGGAAACTTATGTCCGATTTGTTCCACCTACATTTCTGATCCCATCTCCACTCCCTTCCCTTGATTGTCTCCTTTTAAAACTCTCTTCTCTTCAGGATCACTCTGCATTTTAGTGGTCTAGGATGGAAAATTTCTTTCCTTCTCAAGTGTTCATATTCTGATCAACCTGCTTCATTTTATGGGTGATAATACAACACACAGCTCCACTTCAGCTGCACAGAAGGAGAGATACTGACGAATTCTCTTCAAACCCCTAGGAGGTGTAGAACCCAAATCCTTGTTGCATGCCAGTGGGAACAGAGATTGGTGCACCCACATGCAAAGACATATTGGCAGTCCCTCAGACAGCATGACCAAGCTACGCCCCTCCTAAGCCTGCACTCTAGAGAATTGCAGAGTTATGTCTCCACAGAAACCTGGACATGAATGTTAAATGAAGTGTTACTCATTGGGAAACAGCCCAATGAGCATCACCAAAGAGAAGCCACTCAGTTGGCAACTACAAGTTTGCTGGGGCCGCTGTGAGCCAATCATCAGCTGGCAGCTGGAAGTTTGCTGGGGCACCTTCCACTAAGGCTCTCAACAGTGAACAATGAAAGTCACACAGGGTGGTAGTTAAAGGAGGAGAAATGCCTTTGAGAGAACCTATGGATGAGTGAGGAGGATGATAATAGTCCTGGTAGGTGAATTGGCAACATAGGAACTATCAACAAGAAGTATGGATAAGCCCAGCCATCCCCAGAGAAGTTGAGCTGGAGGAATAATTTTATTGACACTTGCAAAGGAATTTCAGAGAGTACAGTATAGTGGCTTGAGAGGACTTCTTAAATCAAGAGCTGGTGAGCACTTTAAGATTTGGTAAAATAGCTTCAGTGCTGGAAATAGCTCCATGAGAGTTGACTCCAAGTGGCTCTCTTAGATATCCCTTGAATGAAGTGTGTTGGGAAGATCCTCAGGAACATGGTCACCACCAGCAGCCACAGTACTTATCAGGGCTTGCTTTATCTCATTTATTCTGGAACAACCCTGTGAGGTCTGTAAGAACATCTCCCTCAACTTATGAATGAAGACACCAGGCTCAGTGTGGTTAA